CCGGGCGCGGTGGCTCAAGCCTGTAATCCCAGCACTTTGGGAGGCCGAGGTGGGTGGATCACGAGGTCAAGAGATTGAGACCATCCTGGTCAACATGGTGAAACCCCGGCTCTACTAAAAACACAAAAAATTAGCTGGGCATGGTGATGCGTGCCTGTAATCCCAGCTACTCAGGGGGCTGAGGCAGGAGAATTGCCTGAACCCAGGAGGCGGAGGTTGCGGTGAGCCGAAATCGCGCCATTGCACTCCAGCCTGGGTAACAAGAGCGAAACTCCGTCTCAAAAAAAAACATTGCAGAGAATATTTCCAATCTCTCCTGCAAGCAATAGATACTCTTTAACAGTTATGCCTTTTATTTTTGCAGGAGCAATCTATATCTACACTGAAGGTCAATTTCTGTTGCCATATATAATGGTTAGGCATAAAATCTGGTGAGATTATTTGTTGTAACAAGTTGATTATAGTAACTTTTTATATAAAACTTTAGAAAATTAGACTATATCAGATCATACATATGTGGTATGTTATTATAAGGTAATAATTATAATTCCCCACAAAAACTATTCTTATTCCATTTTAACCTTATCTCATGAAATTACCTTACATTAGAGCAGATACAGAAAGACTATTTGAAAGGCTATGGAAGAACCTGAGTAAGGTATGATGATGCTTGGACTCAGATGAAGTAATACAGATGGGAAGAGTAGAAGAATCCAAAAGACAGAAAATGGAATCAATAGGCTTGTTGATTAATTGGCATATTACAAATAAGTTTCTTAAGGCTGCAAACATGTATTAAATTTATTTTTGTTTCTTAAAGCAACTAAAACTGTGTTATCCAATAATAAACACTCAAGAAATAACTATTATAAATCTATGAATGACTCTCATAGGCTTCCAAACTATCTGAATGGCATGATAACAAAAAATGTGACAGCCTTTCTGCACTATACAAAACATGGCTATATGCTTTAACCCAGCGGTACACTATATCTACCAGCCACAGAACTGCTGTTAACATTTCTTAGGTTCCACAAGGAAATTCTACCACTTCTAGAAAGGCAAGAATAGTTATGCTAAGCATATTTAGTTTAAGTTTAATCCATCTCTACCAGGTCCATCACTATATGAAAAATAAGATTTAAAATGCATAAGCTAAAGCAGTTCATTTAGAATTGTCACTGAAGATGTAATCACATAGCCGGGAAGTTAACGAAAATAGTTTCCTAACTAGTATCTTAACTGATTCCTGCTTCCACTCTTGGTCCTCTATTATCAACATGAACACTGCTAAGACACTTTTTATGGAAATCATATCATGTCACTCTACTGCTCGAATCCCTCCAATTGCTTCCCACTTCAATCAAGTCAAATCAGTTTTCTTAATATTTTATAAGGCCCTACATGATGTCTCTCACCATCTCTTTTCCCTCTAATATCATCTCCCACTATTCTTGCTCACTGTTCCAGGAACAATGGTCTCCTTGTTATTACTTAAACATCCCAGGCATGTTCCTGTCTAAGCTGTGTACTGGTAACTCCCACTGCCTGGAAAGTGTGTCTTCCAGATGGATTCTCCCTCTGTCCATTTCATCAGGTACAAATGTCTTCTTTTCAAAAGACCTCTCAGTCAACTCTATTTAAAATTGTAGCTCTCTATCACCACACCTCATACCCCTTAGCTTGCTTGATTTTTCCCCCTTAGACTTATTATCTTCTAACAGCTATAAATGTAACTTGTTTATTTTGCTTATTGTCTCTCTCCCCTCAATAGTGTATATAGACTCCATAAAACTGGATTTTTTTCTGCTTTGTTTTCTGCCTTAGCTCCAACACTTAGTCTAGTCCCTTAAACAATGCAAACTCAAAATTTGTTGAGAGAATTACCAGATACAGAAATTTTGCCTGAATTTAACCAGTTTTCAGTAATGTTAGAAACATTAATGAAAAGATGAATAAATGAGCTACAAAATATTGAGTACCACATTTTCCTATAACTTGTAATGTATTGGAACCCTGAACATATTGAAGGACATATTCAACACAACAGAATGAATCACACAAGCACCCACTCTGAGCAGGACCTATGGTCTGAGGTGATGGGAGAAAGTCTGATTAATCCTCACACTTCCCAAAGTGTAGTTGAACTGGGAATTGTTCTGGCTGTAAGATAACTGCCTTCAGATACAGATTATTGTGAATTTTTAAAAAGTTAAATGAGTTTGGTTGATCAGGTGCGTCTAGTTGTTACTAACTTAACCCAGGCCTCCACTCATGGAAAAGAATGCTGTACGCAGGTGACCATTGCTGAGGACTTAACACTTGCAGGCTTTAGACCAGGCATCCCCAAACTACAGCCCTCGGGCTGCATGCGGCTCCCTGAGGCCATTTATCCAGCCCTCCGCCGCACTTCAGGAAGGGGCACCTCTTTCATTGGTGGTCAGTGAGAGGAGCACAGTATGTGGTGGCCCTCCAACGGTCTGAGGGACAGTGAACTGTCCCCTTGTGTAAAAAGTATGGGGACGCCTGCTTTAGACATTCCCTATTCCGACCTTTCTTGAATCATGGGTCATGAGTTGGTATAAAAGGCATTCATCAGTTGGATAAAATTAGTCATTAAGTATTCTTAGAGATTATTGGCAACTGAACCTACTGTACTAATTCGGTAAATGGCAAAGTGTACTACTTGTTAAAGCTATCCAACACTTGAGAACCTCATAAACTTACAAATACTTCCTGGACTCCTGCAGACCTATTTACACCAGATGCCAGAATCCTCTGAAGCCTATAACTTTGTGTGGAGCTCATATGGAATAATGGAGGATGAAAAGGATGTTTGGCCACACTAGCCATATCAAACTTGGCAGTCAGTGGGGTGATGGAGCTCAAAGAACTCTCAGCCAGGCACAGAGTCATGTCTGATTCTTCTGCCTCCTTAGAACCTAGTATACTCTACTTATTCATTCCTTTGGTACTTTTTTCTTCATTTGAAATATTTGTTGATAACCTACTTACATAAGGCACTTCTGGAGCTAAAGTAGTAATGTGGTTTGGTTCTGTGTTCCCAACCAAATCTCATCTCCAAATGTAATCCCCATGTGTCAAGGGAGACACCTGGTGGGAGGTGATTGAATCATGGGGTGGTTTCCCCCATGCTATTCTTGTAATAGTGAGTTAGTTCTGATGAGATCTGATGGTTTTATAAGGGGCTCTTCCCGCTTCGTTCTCTCTTTATCTCTCCTGCTGCCTTGTGAAGAAGGTACTTACTGCTTCTTTACCTTCCTCTATAATTGTAAGTTTCCAAGGCCTCCCCAGCCATGTAGAACTTTGAGTCAATTAAATCTCTTTTATTTATAAATTACTCATTCCTTGACAGTTCTTTATAGCAGTGTGAAAACAGACTAAGACAAGTAGTGAACAAGAAGCAACATAATCCTTCCAGGATGGAACTTACTGAAGAGGCAGATATACTGTGTTACACTTGCAACATCTATCACAAAAAGAAATACAAATTGATGAGAAAGTATATTACCTAGACCTTACCTAGTTTAAAGTGTAAGCTATAAAGTCTCATAGGAAGTGACTAATCTGAGATCTGAAAAATGGTTAGGAGCGAGCTAGGTAAGAAAGGATACTAAATATGAGGGTACCAGTCATGAAGACACACAGTATTTTCAAGAAACTAAATGTAAAGAATAGGAGTATGGAGAGGAATGAAATGATTCTAATATGTGAGGCAAGAGACAAGTCTTAGGGAACCTTGAAGTCAATGAGTCAATGGAAGAATTTTGATTAAGGGAAATACGAAGAGTTTATGGGACATCAAGCTGGAGAATGACATGCATAGATCCATTTTAGGGGGATAATCACTTACTGTAGTATATATAGCATTGCTTGGTATATAACATTTCAGTGGCTATGGTATCAACATAGAAGCACCAGGGATGTTAAGAAGCTAGTTAGATAACTACTCTTGCTAACTTCTAGCTAGCCCACTGAATGTCTCTAGTGATATTTTGAAATGAACTTTCCTAAGGCTATAAGTTGTGCTTTTCATATGTTAGAGCAGATACAGAAACACTATTTGAGAGGCTATTGAAAAACCTGAGTAAGCTATGATGATGCCTGGACTCAGGTGGAGTAATAGAAACAGGAAGAGTAGAAGGATTCAAAAGACAGAAAATAAAATCAGTAAGGCTTGCTGATTAATTGGCTATGAGGTAAGATAAGAATAGCTGAAAACAGAGTTGAATTATTTACTGCATCGATGAACATCAGAGAAAAAACTGGTTTGGAATGGAAAATTATGAGTTTACTATTGAACATATTGAGAATGAGATGCTTGTGAGACATCTAAGTGACCTTTAAAATGAGCGCAAGATATAGGGGTTTTGAGAAAGGAAGAAAGACCTGGGCTAGAGGCAGAAATGGGAGTAGTTGGCATGTAGATGGTCACTGAAGCCACCAGACTGCACAGAGAATGGAATCTAGACAATAGATCAAGTGAGTAAAGAAGGGGTTGACTTGAGGAATTCAAACATTTCAAGGGTGGATAGAAGAAAATGGCTGAAAAAGATATTGAAAATAAGTTATCAGAGAGATAGGATGAAAACATCATCCTACGTGTTTATGGAATGAATGAATGAGAAAGAATGCTGGAAACACAGTGCTAGATTCCTCCTTTATCAGTCAAAGTGTTTCTGGGAGTAAACTTGGATATCACAGATGGCATAGAGATATGTATACCTGCTAGGAGCATCCATCCTTGGCTATAGAGAGCAGAAGTACACTCCCTTAGCCCCAGAACGTGCCTTTATTGCCCTTGTGCTTGGTCTTAGGTGTGGCTGGCCCATGCTGGTTCCTCATCCAGGAGGTAGGCATTGTTGGCCAACAGGTTGGCCTTAGTTGGCACATCATTATCACCACCTAAATCAGGCTAAATGCTTTAGACATTCTAGCTAGCTTATCAAGAAGGGACCTGAGTCATGGGAAATTCCATCATAGGCCAAATACTGTGTTGGTAAGGTGTGAAAGCCAATCTTCTCATTTCCACATTAGACATTATATACTGTCCGTTCATGAGTGGAGGTTGGAGAAGTACAGAGGAAAAGAAAAAAAAAAAAAAAAAGGAGTAGAAGTATATCTTGAGTGCTTAGAGGTGATTTCATCAAATAATACTCTCAACTTTTAATGTGTACATGATTCTGATACAATACTGTACATCTGATGAGATGCCTGGAATTCTACATTTTCAACAAGCTCCCAGGGGGTGTGACTGTTTCTGCCCCAAGAACCACACTTTGAGTCCAGGGTTTAAATTACATTTTAGCACTAACAAGGAGGAAAATAAAGTAGCCCTCGAAGCAGTTAGAGCAGAAACTGATCAAGAGAGACACAGGATGCTGTGTAAAGCCCAGATCTGACCTCCAGGTTTGGATACAAGTCCTCCAGTAAAGGATGTGGATGGCAGTGACCAATTAATTAATGTGTACTGGACCTGGTTACTTAAAGGTTTCCACCACGGTGAACTTCATGGTTCTTAGGTGCCTTAAGTTTTTTGGATCCCCAAAATACTCTTATTCCAGGACAACTTGAAACATATACGTTTGTAAACATAGACAAAAAGCAAAGTTTTCATGGATCAGCAGGCTCTTTAGCTGTGATTTTGCTTTGGAATATAAAGACTTTTCCTAATGTTTAATGCAATACAAAATATTTATAGTAGGAAATTGAATCTACTTAAATTTTGAAAGCTTAATTTTATAAGGTATAATGAGCATTTTTGTGTGTGACAGAGCTTAGGAGCATTGTATTTGGATCAGCGCTTAAATTTTAAAATAAAATATAAACTCTACACTAATATAGATTTTGTCTTCTGCAAAGTATGTTCAAAGTAAAAATTGAAAAAATATGACATACAGAGAGAAAGATAAATAAGAACTAGAGAATATATAATATAAAGTGAAGCGGATAAGGCAAATTAAAATAAGGATTTTTACAGGGGAAAATAATTTCATTTTATTATAAAGAACTAAATGAATAACAGAAGACTTTGAATGTGAAGATGATTAAAAAGACAAAATCATTAGCTAAAGATATTTACAAGTTTAGACTCTTTCATTTTGATTGTAATTTTAATTAGCTGGACACAGGGGGAGAAGAAAATGAAAGCCTACATCATCTACTTACTCTTTGAACTGCATTCCACCTTAATTTTCTGCTTTTTAGTTCTTAATTTTCTCTATTTTTGTTCTAAGTAATCCGGTTATCAGACTAAAGCGATTTTTTTCTCAGCCAGCTTTAGCATTCAGTATTTGCATCTATGAACAGAAGTTCGCCCCATTGCTTTAGTTTTTATTCTTTCAATAGCAAAAACTCTCTACAGGTAACTTTTTTCAGTCTTTTGTTTATTCAGCAGGGTGCTTCATATACTCATGACAGTTAGATGACTAATAACAAAGGCTCCTATTTTCAAAATAATTATGCTCTATTTATATAGTTTTCCACAAAATTTACTCATAAAATTTGGAAGGCAATAAAGCCTTTAAAAGCTATAGTTTTACTATTTATTAAAGCCATTTTTTCTGTGTACAAGCAAGTTGATTGTTTCTGTATCTGATAAAATAGAAGCCAAAAATTCAGTATTAGTTAATCAAATCTGGGATTTGTATATACAGGAATAAAAAATTCTAAAATTACATTAAACACATCTGTTTAGAATAATCTACTTTCAAAAGAGTTTATCTTCAAGATATTATCTGGCTTTTTAGTAGTGCTATTCATTTTGCATTTGTTAAAGAAAACAAGGCCAGGGGCGGTGGTTCACACTTGTAATCCCGGCACTTTGGGAGGCTGAGATGGACGAATCACCTGAGGTCAGGAGTTTGAGACCAGCCTGGCCAATATGGTGAAACCCCATTTCTACTAAAAATACAAAAATTAGCCAGGTGCAGTGGTGGGCACCTGTAATCCCAATTACATGGGAGGCTGAGGCAGAAGAATAGCTTGAACCCAGGAGGCAGAGGTTGCAGTGAGCTGAGTTTGTGTCACTGCACTCTAGCCTGGGAGACCAAGTAAGACTCATTATGAAAAAGAAAAAGAAAGAAAGAAAGAAAGAAAGAAAGAAAGAAAGAAAGAAAGAAAGAGAGAGAGAGAGAGAGAGAGAAAGAAAGAAAGAAAGAAAGAAAGAAAGAAAGAAAGAAAGAAAGAAAACAAAACAAATTAGTGTAGCTAACCATGTATTATATGTTGTTCAGTTTGTCCCTTCTTCCAAAACATATGCACTCAAATAATGTAAAGGAACAATGTTGAAGTGTCTTGAGGTCTAAGGATGAAAGGCACTATTTAAGCGGTGGTAAGTTATTATTCTGCCATAGATAAAGAGTAAAAATTGACTTTAAAAACTATTGTGGACAATTGCATTTTTCTTCCCCATAGGTCAGAAACAATTAAAGCATGGAGTTCTCATCATATGAGCTATACACTCAAACTAGAACTAGTAGGGATTATAAAAGGAATTATCCTAGTAATTAAATACCCACAAATGAAGCATTAGTTGCCAATCATAGCCAAACAGAATAGTTGTTAAGGAACAGCTAGAAAGTTCAGTTGCACCTCATCCAATGTCTCCTGTCTAAAATTCCAAAATATATTTGTATTTTTAAAAAAGCCTTTCTTACCTTCAAACACAAATGTTCCTTGAGAGACATGATCCTTTGAAGCTTATAATTATTGTATGTTTTAATTTAATTTAATTCATTTATTTTGAGACAGACTTTTACTCTTTTGCCCAGGCTGGAGTGCAGTGGCGCAATCTCGGCTCACTGCAACCTCTGCCTCCTGGGTTCAAGCAATTCTCCTACAGGCATGCACCTGTAACCCCAGCCTCCCAAGTAGCTGGGGTTACAGGTGTGTGCCACCATGCCTAATTTTTTGTGTTTTTAGTACTGGCAGGGTTTTGCCATGTTGGCCAGGCTGGTCTTGAACTTCTAACCTCAAGTGATCTGCCCACCTCAGCCTCCCAAAGTGCTGGAATTACAGGCATGAGCCACCACACCTAGCAAGTTGCATGATTTTAGTGAATATGAGCTCCACATATTTTCCAAACATAGAATTTGAGAATGGGGTAGCATAACAGAGAGGAGCTAAGAAGTTCAGAGAGAATTAGATGGCGTTTTGAGGGTGAAAACTCTGCAAAAAATGAAATACAGGAGCAAAAGAGACAAAGTTCCTAACCTTGTCCAAGAATGGGATAAGAATTAACATTAAAATTATTAAAAAGCGTCAACAAGGAATGCCATAAAACCCCCTTCTCTGGAAGTCTTTTAAAATAGAATAGTTGGGTCTTTCCAGCATGGCTTAGATGTGCTACTGAATAGAAGGTTATGATATTGATTAATTATCCTATCCAGGATTAATATCTCTCTGAAATGCATCCAACCTGAAAGGTCTTTTCTTTCATGGAATATTGGGATGTTGTACCACTTTGGTTGTAATTTGGATATGCTGTAGCAGCACTGAGATTTAATCCAGTATTTCTTGACTTGTTACTCTTGTCCGTTTTGCTTAATAGTTATTGCTCAGTGTTCAGACTCTTGCTTTAAAATCGACTGAAGTGCTTTGTAAGTATATAGATTATTGAGGCCCCATCCTTTTTTGCGGGTTCAAATAACCCAATTTGTGAATCTTCAGGGGCCTGTTAAAATGAGGGAGGGACATGTTTTTGGAGTTAGAAAGTCAGAGAGTGGCAAGGCAGAGTATTCTCCAATCGGATAATATTGCTATCACCTGCTGGGGGTCCCTACCAGGTGTATTTCTCATCCTGGGTTGGGTGTGTACCCTCCAACTCTGTAGCACCCCCCACCACTCCAGTTATAACACTTAGGAACACTGCATTGTGTTTTATTGTTTAGCTGAGGAGCCCTACTTAGCTCTCATATTAATAAAGGGCCATGTGTTTTTAATTTACTTTTAAGTCTCCAGAATCTAGTATTGTTTCTGAAATCTGGAGAATAATGCCTTTGAATACAAGAATAATTCAATGAATAAATAAAGAAGTGCTGGTTGTATAAATTAAATTTAAAAGACACACACAAAAAAAGAAAAAGAATATATCTTGCTAGCAAAACAAAACAAAAACTGTAACAGTAATATTACTGTATTTTCTGTTGTTCATTTAGTTAATAATATTAGTATATTACAATCAGTTAGTTAACAATTATTAAATTTTTATTATGTGTCAGAAGTTCTAAAGACCTTAAATGCCATATTTAATTCATACAACTGTATAAGTGGAATGGTATTATTATTAGATTTTTCAGAGTAAAGGCAGGTCCAGTAACTCACCCACAGCCAAACATCTAATAAGAGAGGACTAGAGCTGAAACCATGGCAGCTGGATCCTTGAACCCATGCTCTATGTTATTATTCCATGTAATGTAGACAGCGATGAAGACACTGTGCTAGGAATGGTGGAGGATGCTAAGAATCAGCTCCTGCTTTTAAGGGGACTTACAGTAATTAACTATACATGTTTATCTAAATAATTTGATCTCCCTTTTTCTTTGCAATTTAAGAGAAGAGAGAAAGAAAACAGGGAGGGAAGAATGAGTAAAGGAAGCAAAGAAGGAAGGAAGGAAGGAAGGAAGGGAAAAAAGGGAGGGTAGGATGGGGAAACAGCCCTAGTTCTTCAACAGGTTTTTGATCCAATTTACACCTATTTGATTCTGTTCCAGACAAAGAACAGTGAATAAAAACTCTCAAGCCAGCACTTATACCCACAAAATTTTTGAGTCTTAAAAAAAAAAAAATCCAACTCCTTACACAAAGAAATGATAAATGTTTGAGAAGATGGATATGCCAGTTACCCTGATCTGATCACTATACATTATATGTATTGAAACATCACTATGTACCCTATGAATATATACAATTATTTGTCAATTTAAGACAATATTTTAAATCTGAGGATTAGTCTCTATTAGAAAAAGAAATCTGTCCTTTGTAAATAACTTGAAAGAAAAAAT